AGGATTGATACGATCGGCAAACTATGAGCCCCGTGTAAATTTCCAAACCTGGACCGCGTTACCGATCAAGGTAACGAGCGCGAATTCCTCGACTCGACTACCGTAGTCGTCGTCGTCGCCGCCGACGCGACCGTCCGAGATAACTTGTCACTGAATACCAGGCTATCTCTCCCGAAATCGCATGTCGCTCGACGCGCGATTCAGAATCGAAAAGCAGCCCTTCTCGCTCGACCACTCTCTCCGAATTCTCGTTTATGCGGAGAAGTTCTGCGAGATCAACCCGAATTTCCTTCCGGAACTTCCGACGAGAACTTCGGTGCACTCCCGATCGACGAATTCAATCCTTGTCCGTAGGCGGAACTCCGAGGTAAACACTGCCCGTTTCTCGCCGGATGTTATCAAAGCTCTGTTGCATTAAGTCGTGCGGATATCGAGCTAGCTTCGTTGATCTCCCTCCTCGCCACGGGATTGCTTTCGGCGGACGTGGGAACGCGAGGATCGATGACTGCTCCCACAACGGGGACCACCGACACGGCGGAAACCGCAACTACCTCCGCTTCTGGCCGATAGCGTCGGAATAAGCGCAACGTGTGACAGACATAATTAAGGCTTGATTAAATGGCCGTTCGACAGTCACGGATTTTGTGCCACGGACTAGTTCACGGTCGACAATTACCCTCTCAGTATGTATGCCGAATGAGTAGTGAAGGCGTCACGTGACGCCCGTGTCAGGGGATACTGCCTTCAGCGACCGGCGCGACGGCTCCGAGCACGATATCCCATCTTATATTGTCGAGGCTTGCAGCGGAGCACCTTCACATCCATCCAGCCAAGGCTGTCGCTTCATGCGAATTCAGGACGAACCGTCCATTCAGGCGCGGCGTGCGCTGATCTTCCAATGACGAGATTCGCGAAGTCGTCCGAGATTCACAGGATCTCATCATCTTTCCCATCGAGCATGTTGAGAACCCGCCGATTCTATTAAATGACAGAAACGCTGGAGGACCGAGCTCGAAGTCGGAATGTCGACCTCTTCGTTCGATCGGCGTCTTTGAGGACAGCGTCGCGTCGTCTTGCGAGGCCCTCGGGCAACGAGTTCGAACCGCACTCGCTCTCGATATTGAACGCTCTTCGGCGATCGTTGGAAATAAGGCTCTCGGAGTTTATTCTTCCCCTCCGTTTCCTCTCTGGCGTCCCCTTTCAGGTGCCTGTCGGAATGTTCTGGGAGCTCCGTGTCATCGACCTGTAGCTGTGTACGCTCTTTATTGGATCTCGCCTCCCCGAGTATTCCTGATCGCTCCGGTAGAAGGCAGCCTCAATTTCCATGATTCAGGTTGGAACTGAAATTCCGAGTGCTTCCGTTCTTGTCACGTGAATAGGGATGTAGGTCATACGTCAAATTTCCAGCTGAAGTGGAAGGGTTCGCTCACGATGATATCCCTGCGGAATCTCGAGATTAGACCGATTCGCGAGGCAGCCGATATCAGAGCGGCGCCGAGCTCCGTTTCCGGCTGCTGGTGTTCCAAGAATGGGCAATGATAGCACAATCTTTTGGCGTTTTCGCCCTCAATCCCGCATAGGTCTCTCGTCTCTCAGTAGTTCCCACGCCGCGCTGGCCGATCGCTCCGCGATCCGTTCCAAACCTGCGCGGGGACCCCTGATGACTGACGCCGATTAAGGAACCTCTGAATCAAGGAGGCGGATCACTAATGTCTGACCTACCATTTTACTGAAGCGAACTAGCAAAGCTTTGAAGAAACCCATGGTAGCAGCTTTTCCCGGAGGTTCTCCCGCACGCACAACCATGTTCATCACCACCGGAGTCTTGTGACTCACGTCGAATCACTCACGAGCAGGAATCGCTTCTCACGGAAAAACTCAATATCATGACGTCCTTATGAGACACTGGAATCGTCCGGTGTATTTTCCTCTCTTCTGGCTGAGCTTCAAGGCTCAACACAAGCCCAGTTTCGGTCGCCGCGGCCGTCGCATTGACAGCGCCAACTCACCAGCGAGAAGTGGACGGAATCAAAGCAAGTCGTTCACAATTTTCGGCGCCTTGCGGAAGCTCATATGCCCAGAATTCGAATTTGGCACTCGTTGTCGAACAATTCTCAATGAGCTGGGCAAGAAATCGGTGTTTCAATCACTCTGCATAGCACCAGACGGTTGGACTTGTCGTTGCCCGTCTTGCACATATATTTGCTGTGAATACTCTAGAAGACTGAGGTCCGTACGAGAAGAAACTCATCGCAGATGAGGGAGGCGAGGAGGTCTGTATATCAACAGGAGCAAGGACGCGAGAGCCCTCAGTCAGTCACTAAGTGAGAGGATGAGCCAGCCCTGGGTCAGATGCTTGCTTGCTAGGAGAGTCTATTTGCCCGGCGGGCCTGCCGGCCGGGCGACCGCACCGCCAGCCGGCCGTCTATCTGTCGGTCAGTCGGTCGGTCTAGAAGGACTCGGTGACGAACACGCGAGGCAGCGTCGGAAAAGCCCGTCACAACCATAACACATTCTACCTCCCCTGAGAATAACCCTCACAGCGTCTCTTACGCAAGACGAGACTAACTCAGTCAGTCAGCTAAATATGGCTCAAACCCTATGATGAGAAACACTAGCACCAGAAGAGCGTCGATGATCTCAGAGATAGCCGGATCAACAGCTGCGATGATTGCGACCTGCGAGCCGGAGGCTCGGGAAAATGAGGGAACAAATTCATCCGTCATCGACGGCTGTATTTCCCCTCACCTTATTTGCCGTGGTCAGGAATAGCATATCTGCGCACAAACCCACCCGGGATATATATCTGGATCCGTTCTACAGATATACTCGATCATTGCATCTAAACTATCAAATCAGATGATCGGACGAGGCTCTCTCAAAGAGCCAGCTTAGCGAACAAGCGGCTCGATGGCAAAAGAAAAACAAAGTCTACGGGTCAGGTATGCGAAACAGCCGATAAACCCACGTCAGTGCGGAGTATAGAGTTTCTAAGGTTAGCCTTCCGCGTAAATCTAATACAGATGAAAGGGCGGCGGCGGTGAGTCTACCTATGTGCGCCTTCAGCGAGTTAGTCCGTCTGTGAGTCCATTCGTCGTCGGTGAATCGCGAGAAAGTGCTCGATGTGTAAATGCTATGTTTAGACGCGGTACAATATCGGCTATCAGGTTGCGAACTTCTTCTATTCCATTGAAGAAGAATTCAAGAGCGTGGGTACTTGGCAAACGCGGCTCCGATTCTCAGAAAGTATCACAAACACCAAGAGCGACAAAGGATGACTCATATGGAATCTTGTCAAAAATTCGAATGTCGCGGTATTCGTCAGTATTGCTTCACACAACTTCCTCGGAAGGACTTCGGAATCTATTTGTCATCACTCACCGAGGAAATCGTTCTCTGCTAAGTGTTCGACTCCCCAGAAGCCGGGGAAAAGCGAGCGGCCCCGATAGTAACATTAGACGGTCCCCTTGTCTCCGCAGCCGATGCCGAATCAATTAGAAAAAACACCTCAGATGTCTGAAGCAACTCGAACGGTGAGGGGGGGGGCGCTCGATTTCCGGTGCGAATGAGAATGAGATCCTCGTCGACAGAATTCCGAATTATCCGGAGGATTCCGCTCCGGGAGAATCCTCATTCCCCTAAATTAAGAACATTCCGGAATCACCCTCATTGCATGAAAATGCCAGCCCTCATAGAAAAGACTTCGCACGGAAAGTCGGTTTGTCGCACCTAGGTATCACATCGCGGCAGGCGTCGTCTGATCACGGGAGTGTGACGTCGCCGCCGCTGCGGATCCCGTTACCGACGGATGTTGAACGGTCACAGGACGCGCCGAGCATTCGCACTATGCGAGGGCATCTTAATTTCATGAGCCCGCTGATGTTGCATGCTTTGCATTCATAGCTGTACCCTGTACCGGGATCTCCATTGTGTGGAGATGAGGCCAAGCTTTATTGAAATATATTCAATGTGCCGCAGGCAGGCACAGTAGGGTCGGCGCTCATTCCGAGAGTCCCATTTTCATTCAGTGTCCCGGAGCTCGCTACAACTGACAAGCTGTCCGACTGATTCGCCGAGGTTCTCTCACGATCCGGCCTCACGAGCTGCCTTTACGAGCTGCCCTTACGAGCAACCTGTTATCAGGTTATGCAAGCAGCCCTGGAGACGAGTTTCGCGAGCTCTGAAGAGAAAACAAAACTGCCTCTCCATCCGAACTAGTTGGATCGACGAGAGCGTACGATGTCGCAATGTACCGTTTCGCAGCTCGTTCGCCCAATCACCGAATACAATACGCGCACGAGAGTTGCATCGCGTATTCTCCGATGAGCTCGGTTCGTCTGCTGCGCTGATATTCTTGGTATTCCCATCGAATCAATCCCCCTGGCGCGTACCCGATCGGCGGAGCGGGAGTTCTGAGCAGAAACAGGCGAGTAAAGTAAAACTCGCTGGATTCCATACGAGTTGCTCACTGGTGCCCCATGTGTTGCGAACGCCCGAGGGAGGTTAAGGTTCCCGACAGATCTCATATTCCGGATCTCTCGCGTTGATTGGACGGACGCAGCTGATTTTGCATCTGGGAATCCTCCGTGAGACCGATTCCGAAAGCTTCTGATGAGATTTCCGGGGCGAAAGCTCGAGATGAGTTCCGGCATCCCTCAGGATCCTTATTGGATCTCGGCATGCGAGCCGGCAAGCAAGCTTCCCTTGCTAGTCTGGCTCGCCAGTCACATCGACTGGGGAACACTCTCTATGACACGTTCTATCTCGGCTTCCGCCGTTCAAGTTAATATCCTCTGCTCCGTCGCGACCGACCCTGAGGCTTAATGTACAGGATTGAAACCTCGCGGAAACGGTCGGGACGGAATAAGCTGGCGACCTCACCCAAGCGGGCGCATGTCGCAAGATCTGCACCCCGACGGCGAGCATTAAACCATTGCCCGCTCGGAGAGTTGAAACCCGAGCTCGTGAACTCCGCGAATGAGACGCGAATGAAAACTCACCCTTGCCATGCTGGAATCGGCGAATTCCACCGTCATGTCTTCCTGCGGTCCCTGTGAGAGAAAGAAAACATTGAGAAATTCAATTTTTCTGAATCTGATGTCTCAGGACATGGACCTGGACTCGGAATGTGAGAGTAATCACCCTCGGCCCCGTGAGAGAGGATGTTCGAAGTTTGTCGTACTTTCGTCATTAACGAAGCGGGACCGGACATTGGTTAGGTAATCGAGCGGGCTCCATCCTTGATGGAGTCGCTGGAATGAACTCCGCAGCGAGCGATGTTCCACAGACAGTCGATCCCGCATTCTTCATACTTTTCGAGATGCATTCGGATAAATTCGTGCAAACCCCAGATCTCGCGGACCGGGGACTCGCCTACGACAAAGCACCTACGTCGATAATTTCCTCGACCCCCCCCTTCCACCGACTCGTCAAATTATGCGCTCTCCGAGCGAATAACATCTGTAGTGCGAGCAAGCCAATCAGGTTGATTGGAGTGCATCGATACGTAACTTTCGTTTCATCCGGTGAAGGACCTGGCGTGATGAACATTCGAAGCTTAGCATCCGATTGCAGACAGCCTGTCGGATCGAGCCCAATTGATTGGTCTTGCCTGACTTCATCACGTGTCGTTTCCAGGCACGTTTGTCTACGCTGATGATATCTCTTGCGCTTCCAGCATGGGAATTTCCACTCGGAAACCGCGGTCGCGAGGATTTCTCAGCGAAAACGTCGCCTTTGTTCCCAAATGCATTCTCGTCGAGCTGTGGAACCAGCGATGCTGCGGCAGTTCACTCCTCCTATTTCCCCCCTTCGCTCTGCTGCTCTGATGTTCGCGCCTCGTCGGGAGATAAACAACCTCATTGAAGTCGATGGAAGACTCTCCCGCCTGAAGTTCCCGCCGCCGGATCGTACTCTCAGAGAACCGTTATGGTCGCGACCGCTTATGAAATGCTCCAAGCTCGATAAGCGGCCTGTACCTATTGCAGAGGCTCCCCGTCACACTGTTAGGACAGAAGCTGACTCATGTCACCATGCCCAGTGCAGAGGTGCTAACCCGATTGGAGAAGAGCGCCGGCGCTGTCGGTACAGCGCATGTCATGAGAGATAAGGGGGGGACGGATTGCGTCCTGCGGCCAAGTCGGTCGCAAAAACGAAAGTCGCTTCTGAAGCCTATGAATTCAATATGTACGCGGTGGGGAGGATTCTTGGCCTGGCAGGCTTCCCCGTAGAGTTTTGCACAGTTCGGTTTTTTTTTCGACTTGATCCGGAGCGCACTCTTGGGCCCCCTTCATTTCTTTTCTGGCAACATACCCACGTCTCAAAGGCTTCCGTCGGGTCTGTAACACAGGAGGAGAGGATTCCCACCCCCTCGGATTATCATACCCCTCATATCGCGGTCTCGTCTGATTAGAGTACTTCCTTTGCTCGATCACGCAAGGATCCAGCGTGGCGCAGTGTACTCAGTTTGCGGATATAGTCGCGCGACAGGCTCCCTCGGGGGCAAATCAAATCCGGACGAGGGCCGGGATCAGAGCGTCTATCGTGGTGACGCAAGATTTACGAAACCTCCGCGCGAGTCAACCAAGAACTCTCGCAACAATTGACGGCTTCGCGTAACGTCAGATGATACTGTTTGCTTCGCCCCGCCGAGCAAAAGAGATGGCTCTCTGTCTCTGCCATGGCCTCCCACGATCACGATGACGAATGAGTGTGGAATTCACCTATCTTGACGTCTCTCTCGCGTCGAGCCGGAAGCTTACGAAGTTCGCCTTGAAGCCGCAACTCCACCAAAATCATCCATGCGCTCTCCGAGGGCTCTCCAAGAAGTTTAACGGAATCCGCGAACCGTGCTAACAAACGAGCGAGCGGTCGGTCGGTCATGCCGTCATCCAGGCTGCGAAGTCGTTGTAAACTTTAATGACGATGCGAGCAAACAAAAAGTGGACTGCACGACGACGACGCCTAATGCGGAGATTGCGTTCTAGGGATCCCGGGAGAGAGGATCCGGGCCGCGAGAGCGTTAGTTCATTCTCTCATGGTCGTGATTCCGCCTCATCAAAATTTAGAAGCCGCGCTTGTGCCGCCTACACGTCGTTATCGCTGCTAATCGTCCACGTTCTCACATTGACGTATCGAGCCAACACTTCAATCAGACGACCGGTGACAGTCGCTGATCGTGATTGCTGGGTCATGTTGCGCAGATAGCCGCCGAGCAACAGAGCGACTGAACGGACGGGGGCGGTTAGATGTGCGGATCCCTATCGTACAAGGGTCTCGATCGAAAGATTCCTCCCGGAGAGCTCCTAGGTCTTTCACAGCTCCCCCTCGTCATCGATTCTCGAAGAAAATCCCCTACGACTTTTCCCGAGACACATCTGGCCGAAACACTCGCTATTCATGCAACATGTTGCGAATAACATCGGCCCGTGTGTTCGCTATCGATTCGTTGCTATTTTTTTCGTTTCTCTGAAAGGATATCCCCTGAGCCCTCTTCTCGCGGAAAGAGATTCCGGCGCAACTAAAACGTCGCTTTGCTTCAATGGGTCGTGCATTATATCCGGAGAAAAAGAAGAAGGACCGCAAAAGAGGAGAAATCTGTTTGTGCTGCGGGCCGCGTCCGTTGTGGCCCACTTACGGACGAACAACGCAAAACCAACTGCAGACGAGAAGGACTGTCAGAAAATGATCATGCTTGCGGCGGCGGTCGCGATAACCCGTCGCTTCGAGCCATCGGCTTCTCGTACTCACTCGTGGACTCTGAGTGCACTTCGCCGTTTTCGGGATTCGGAGTACGAGACGCGAATCGGAACGACTGGGGCAAAATACGCTAGACGGTATTCGAGTTGCGGGTTCGCGTGCTTCCCATTCATTCACGAGCGGCGAGATGATGTTATTCATCGACTTCGCAGTCCTCGCGGTCACTCAAGAAGATTTTCGAGGAACAAGATTCTGACTGTGGGAGCCGCGACTTCACGAAATTCATGGAGGCGGAAGCAGGGCTGCTTCGAAGCTCCATACTTTCACTCGTAATTTCGATCCGGAAATTTCGGAGACTAATCCATTTGCCGAATTGGCTCCACTTCAGCCACGGGTTCGACGGATATTCTCCATCGGCGCAGAGGGGAATAGAAAGATAAATCAGAAAGTCGAACTGCAGTCATCATTCGTCCTCACGGCGCGGGCCGGTTCTTCGGGAAGCCCGCAAACTGGGACTTTCCCTCTTGTATGCACTTGCCTTTGGCATCCCGCTCGAAGACCAACCTCGGTCGATACACTGGTTGTGAGAAAACGAAGTTCGTTCGCTTTTCCCTCCGTTTGTTACTCACGCATCAACGAAAGCGCTTCGACGGAACGGTAACGAGTCGCAGTGACTGTCTGAACGGACCACCGATCTGAATGAGGACGGTGTTTCTAACGCGAACAAACTCCGAATGGAGAGAACGCGCATTGAGAAACAACTCACCGTACGAATAATGGCGGTACCGATAGGGCCGCCCTCGCTTCCGGTGCTTTTAATTCAATGAAATCCCTGTCCACTAAAAAAAATAGCTCAACTATTGCCCGGCAAGAGCAACAGATCCTTCGTATACAAACAAAACATGTACACATGCCGGCCAGGCGTACGTCATTGAACTTCCTGCGCGACTCTCGAGGAGAAATTCCAAACGAAATACACGGAGCCTCCAAACAGAACGCGTAAACGCTGGTTCCAAAGAGCACAAAAACATCATTATCGTCATCCTGCTGAGCGACTTCGGGCAGCATGCAACTCCGAAGATTTCTCCTCATTTTTCTTTCCGCTTCGCCAGGGAATACCTCAAACACTTGTCGTTAAGGACTGCTCCGTCAGATGGCGTCAACGACGCCGGCTTTCCTACGCAGATTTTCAACGTCATAGCTTTCGCGCTCACTATTTCGTTGGACTCCTTAATCCGCACAGGTGGTAAGGCAACGATCTATCAGAGCCATTCAACAGCCCGCTTGACGCATGGGAATTCTCTCGTTCCGATATCTCACGGTATCCCACGGATCATACGCTACATGTTCGCGCTTCAGCCGTCGACGCATGAATCGCTCGCTCTTTCGTTGGACCGGCCCGTCCGTCTTCCGACTCGTCAGTCACTCAACGAACAAGTGTTACTGATACCGGCGCAATCCTGAACATGGTACGCTCTTCCTTTGAGCCGACGACATCCTTATCTGGCGCATGAATGCCGAGACTTCCGAATTTCTCAGTGAAGGTCCGACTCTGACGACACACCGCTCTAGGCATGACGTCAATCACGTATTTGAATAAAGAGGTAGCTTGATTTCTATTTTTATCGGCCTCACCGGCGAGACCGAATAAATTGCATCCGATGAAGTGGTACGACACTCCAAACTGTCTACTACCACTTTGTCTTTCATTGAAGCTTTACTTCGACCTCATTCATTTCACGGAGAGCTAATCCGTGCTTTCTGGTCTGTCCTCGATTGTTCTGCGGTTTCGTGAACTTGAAAGCCGTGTTGAGCCGTCCCACGTACCCACGTTAAACAGACTATCCGAACCGAAAAATTCCCAAAAACTTCATGACGCGATTCGTCCATGACATGAAATCGCAGACGATTGTGGGTATTTCGCTGGTGACCTCAGATTGCAGCCCCGCTGTTGGACGAAATTTGCGCTGCTTATCGCCGATCCCGGATTTTTTTCGGGATGAAATCCTTCGCCTCCGCTAGCCAACGGGCGCGATTCGATCCTGCGAAGGGCGATAACTCCGAAAGACGGAGTTCTCTCGAAAACACGGTTTCACCCAGTCAGAGGTATTCCGTTTCGGGTGCTCGGCCAAGCCGGGCCAGCAACGACGTAGACTGGATAACACTTCGGCAGATCATGGCTCACCGTTCAGGAAGAGATCCGTTCATCCGACAAACGACACAGCTCGAAGAGGTCACCATCCAAAAGAACTGACTCCTATCCGGAACCAGACTTCTTCGGCGCGCAGAAAACCTCAAACTTCCGCTCGATTTTTTCTCCGTGAGTCTCCAGTTTCAGAT